AGCTTCTAAGAGAAATACTAAGTGTCTCTATATATCAAAGTCTAAGAAGAATAAGGAAAAACAACATAATAAGGGTAGAGGAGGACTCCGAGATCTGCGGACGCTGGCAGATGTACCTTGGAGTCTCCACGAACGGCTATCGCATTGGTATCTAGCCTGATAAGAAGAAACTGGATCTGCACAAAAAGATGTGCAGAAGAGTAGCATGAGTATTCCACAACAGTACCCAATAAGTGCCAAGCCTAACCTCGGTAGAGTAGTAACGAGGCCAGGTCAGGGCTCTACTGGAATAAAAAGGAAACAAAGCAGAAGATATAATAATATAATAAAACGACTGAGAATTTAATAATGAGAAATTTCAGGAAGGTAACAACACAACAAATAGAGGTAAACAACAGGGGGCGCTCCCGAGGTACCGCCTCGTAGTCCCAAATGTAAATAAACGACAGGGGGAGCTCCGGAGGTACCGCCTCGTAGTCCTAAAAGTAAACACACAACAGGAGAAACTCCTGAGGTACCACCTCGTAGTCCCAAAAGTAAATATATGATAAGGAAACTCGCGAGGTACCGCCTTGTAGTCCCAAAGGTAAATACACAATTCATAACTTATGGAACAACGAATTTACAGCAAGGAATCCTATAGTTAAAGACTGAATACAAAATCAAGGAAGCAGGTAATTCAACTAAGCATACTGTACAAATTGCAAGTAATAGTTAAGACACGTAAGCATGTGATACTAGGCTAAACATGATAACTACACATGCTAAGGCAACTAAGTTAAGGAATTAAAAGAAGACTACTCATCAAGAACTAGAATTTCCATATTTATCCCGTGTACGCACTCATCACCTCGCGTACACGACACTCACACATCACAAATTGTTACAGCAGTACCAAATTCTAAGGGAAATTCCCCCACACAAGGTTAGACAAGTCACTTACCTCAAATAAGTTCAATCAGTCACTAAGAATGCCTTTCCCTCGATTTTTAAACTCCGATCCGTTTGAATCTAGCCAAAACAATTTCATACTATAAATATAACTATAAGAAACTAATTTAAATAATGAAACTATAATTTTTGCACAGAATTGAAAAATCGTCCCAAAAAGTCAACCCGGGCCCACATCTCGGAATCGGGTAAAAATCACAAAATACGAATACCCATTCGACCATGAGTCCAACTATACCAAATTTACCAAAATTCAATACCAAATCGCCACTCAAATCCCCAAATTAAACTCTCCAAATCCCTAGCCTCAACCCCCCAAATTTTACCTTAAATACACACAAACTAGGTGGGAAATTCAATGGAGAAATGATGTTATTGGATAAGAATGATCACAAGTGACTTACCTCAAGAAATCCCTCCAAAAATTCTCTCAAGAATCGCCAAAACCCGAGCTCAAAATGTTTAAAATGAAGCAAATATCGCGAACCCTAGTATTTTAGTGTTCTGCCAGCACTTCCGCCTCTGCGAAAACTTAACCGCTTATGCGGCGTCGCAGAAACGACCGCTCACCCTCATCTGCGGCTTCTTCCGCTCCTGCGTCCCCTCACTCTACTTCTGTGGATTCGCTTCTGCGAGCCTCCAAGCCGCTTTTGCGGTCCCAACTTCCTTGCCCAATTCCGCTACTGCGGTTCAAAGCTCGCTCATGCGGGTGCGCATCTGCGCAAACACGTCCGCTTCTACGGACAGGCCTCCCAAGCACTCGTTCGCTTATGCGGCCTTTACGTCGCACCTGCGACCACATGCCATTTCCTCCAGCCCTACATCTGCGCCTAAATGCTCGCTTCTGTGAGCTCGCACCTGCAGTTAATCTTGCGCAGGTGCGATTGCACCAGAACTGGTGCACTTCTGCCATTCTCACAAGTCTAAATTTAATCCGTTAGCCATCCGAAATCCACCCGAAGCCCCCGGGACCTCGACTAAATATACCAGCCAGCCGTAAAATATCATACGAACTTAGTCGAGCCTTTAAATCACATCAAACAATGGTAAAAACGTGAATTGCACATTGATTCAAGCCTAATGGACTTTGAAACTTCAAACTTCTACATCTGATGCCAAAGCCTATCAAATCAAGTCTGATTGACTTCAAATTTTGCACACAAGACATAATTGATATTACGGACCTACTCCAACTTCTGAAATCGGAATCCGACCCTGATATCAAAAAGTCCACTCTCGGTCAATCTTTCCAAAAATTATCCAATTTTCTAACTTCCGCCAATTGACGCTAAAATGACCTACGGACCTCCAATTCAACATCCGAACATGCTCCTAGTATCAAAATCACCATACGGAGCTATTGGAACCTTCCGGAGTCGTCTTCACCCAATTCAAACTACGGTCAATTCCTAAAACTTAAACTCTCAATTTAGGGATTATGTGTCTCATTCCACTCCGAAATCAAAAATAAATCCTCCCGTAAGTTATGTAACCACAAAATGAAATAAAGGGAGCAATAATTAGGGGTTCGGGGCTAATACTCTCAAAATGACTGGCCGGATCGTTACAAGAACAGAGAAGGAGGAGGAGGAGGAGGAGGGGGGAGGNCAAGATTTATTATATTCTGGGCCTCGAACCTGAGACCATAGGCTAAGAGGCAAATATAGTGCTGGGGCACCTGGTTCATCTGAACTAAGTAGTTTCGATGCAAACTTAAATTTATGTATAAAAATCATGTAATAGATTTGAACTTATAAACAATACAATGAATTTAACGCTAAGAAACTTAAAGGTTGAATCCGTAGAATTTAAATCCTAAATTTATTACTATTTAATCTTTGATCAAGGGTGAATGAATTTTATTTATCTCATCACAGCTATGATAATAAAGCGAAATACACTTATTATATTAGGATACAGTTAGAAGTTCATTAATTGATGGTTCGATGATCAGTCAACAAAAATATTAAATTGTGTAAAGTTTTGTAAGTTCACTGCAATATTTTGCATCATCTAGCTGGTCACCTACACATTCGAAGTCAGAGAAAAAGTTTAGCTTTCTGTTTCGTTTGTTTCCCTTTAATGGGCCTGACAAATGTGGTAGCTTCTTCTGCGATTCCCTAAACCCAATAGATTCGTTCCAATTTTCGTTCTGAATTTCTAGTTTCTTTTTACAACATCTCAAGAATAATTTATTCCGGTTCACTTTAATTGATTTTTTTGATTGTTTTTACATACTAACTCTGGTCTACTTTAAGTAATTTTTTGGCCTTTTTTGTGATCTATAATATTTAATTTTTTGAAATATCAAGAAGGAATTAACTTCTTCTTTCCAAAGTTGCCCTTGGAGTAAAGAGCCTAAGACTAGTTTGTTATATTTTCAATGAGCAAATTAAGGTTAATATGATCGATTTTATTATTAATTAATGCTGAAAGATGAATTCCTTAATATGTGTGAAAAGAGCCAAAAAAAATCACTTAAAGTGGACCGGATGGAGTATATATTAAGGAATTCAACTTTTAGTATTAATTAATAATGCAATTGATCATATTAATCCTAATTTGTTCATTAAAAATATAACAAATACTCTTAGGCTCTTTACTCCAAGACAATTTTGGAAAAATAAAGTTAATTCCTACTTGTTATCTAAAAATATTGTGAATCACAAAAAAAAAATCAATTAAAGTGGACCGGAGACCGCACTTACTAGTGTTTTCATTAGTATGATTTTCTGATCCACAAAATAGGAGGTATTTAGACAATATTAATTGGTAGAAAATACGTTATTTACAGAGTTTCAATCAGTGGCGATCAATATAAAAGTTATGGAAATTGAACCTGTAGCTACTTTATTAATTAGTCTCATCACCGCCATTTTGAGGTAGCTAACCACATGGCCAAGGAACTTACATTTGCAAGTGCTTGATATGATTTATTTTGATAATATCTGAATAGTTGTCCTAAAATAGAGAAGGGTAATAAAGTGTATTACATTGCATGAGAAGGAATACCCCCAAGAGTAGAGAATGCAAGTGTAGTCCTACCAGCTATATTCATAAGTTAGTCCTTCAATGTTTGAGAGCCTAACGTACATCTTGTCAAGGATATAATAATAATCAGATGGCTTAAGAGAGTTAGTAAGAATAGGAAAACCTAAGTACTTTCTAAACCTATGACATATCAGACAGATCTAAAATTTTTAATTTTAGAACATAAGTACACCTCTAAAAAAGTGAGAAAAAAAAGTTCTAAACGAGAATCGATCCATGTTACTTTGGATAAATAACTCAGTATCCAATCAAGTGTACAATTTAATTTTTTTGAAGCATGAATGCCAACAAATAATATTAGATCAAATTTACGAAATATATACATAAATACCTAGTTAGGCGGAAAGATCATGGGTTCACGTGCACCATAAAAATAACCTAAATCCGTCCCTTTCCAAATGGAAGAAAATATTGTGCATAGTATCTTCACTAACAGTTTTTGGACAAGATAATTTTAGATATCTCATAGTTAATTTTGTGACCAAAGAGATGGCAGAAATAGTTGAGACAATTGAGGATAGTGTCACACGATTTTTGAATTGATTACTTCATAGTACAATCTTTTGCCTTGAATTTATAAAATTAATCATCATAACCTTGACTTATTATATTATCTCACGTAATTTTAGCACATTAATTAAAAATATATTGTTGGTCATGTGACCTACTTATGATACAACAAGTGTTGCGCAAAGAGCACGTAAAAATTGCATGCATGGCCCCTGATTGGCTTGAATAACGTGAGAGACATAAAAACATATACTGTTTGAAATTTGTTGTTATTGAGTTGACATTAAAACGTTAAATGATCCCTTCTTTTTATCTACCTAACACTGTGCAATACAGAAAGAATGCCACTCTCGAGATTGTTAGGGCTGCGTTTAATACCCTTCATTTACTATATTTGCCCCTTTCTTCACTTCTCACAACTGTCCTCTGCCTTCTTTCCCTCCTTTAAAAACCCCTGCTCATCACCATTTGTTTCCTTACCACACAGCAGCAGAAGTAAAATTTATCCCATTGTGTGTGTGTGTGTGAGCGTGAGAGAGAGAAAGGGGTAAGAGTAGAAAAAATGGCAAGTTGGTATGTAATGTTTGTGTTTGCACTTGTACTTGTCCATGCAACAGCAAGAAATATTCCCGAAGTGTCCAAACCAAACGAGCCTCAGACGCAGGTTTCCATTTTATTTTATTTTGTGAACAAGGATAATGTTACTTCAGTACATATAAAGATTTAACTTATATACACTTCGTGTAACATTAATTATGGACGGGACACTATAGTTATTTTTTCACCTTATCAGTGGCATGATAGATAGTGTATCTTTTAAGTCACACTTTTTATGGATAGTGTGACATGATATTATAACTTTTTTTATAACTATTAATGTATAAAAGTTAAACTATATATAAAATATTATATTGTATCATCATTTCATATATTATTGTTTCTAAAAGAAGTCGTTCCTAATTTGTCTACCTCAGGCTCATGAGGTTCAAACTCATGGTTTAACTGTAAACACTGAGGTTATAAGTACAGCTCCAACACCTAGTGAAGGACTTGATGACCAAAAGAATTTCATGACATTTGGTGGCGTTGGTGGCTGGGCAGGAGTTGGTGGCTATGCTGGTGTATTGCCAACTCTTGGTGGAATTGGCGGCGGCATGGGCGTCGGAGGTGGAATAGGCGGTGTCAGTGGAATTGGAGGGCTCGGCGGGCTTGGTGGCATTGGCGGAGCAGCTGGCGGTGCCGGAGGACTTGGTGGTGTTGGTGGTTTAGGTGTTGGTGGTGGAGTTGGTGGTCTTGGTGGCATTGGTGGTGGAGTTGGTGGTCTTGGTGGCATTGGTGGTGGAGTTGGTGGTCTTGGTGGCATTGGTGGTATCAAACCCTAGAAACTTTTTGTTGCATGCATGTCCAATTTTCCTATGTTTGTGTCAAGTGTACGTTTAGTGTTTTGAAGTTTCCGAGTATTAGTAGTATTTTAATTTCCTAGTTCACTGTGTTATCTAGTGTTGTTCCTAAGTTAGGATTTGGTTGTATTAGGTTCAATTTCCAAGTCACTCTAATTGTTGGTTTGTCTTGTTTTTCTAATTTATCATGTTTGTTTCTGGCTGAAAAATATTGCTTTCTCTATTTCTACTCAAAGTACGTGGATGCGGTCATAGTCTTTTCTACTTGAAAATATGCATGTTCGAAATTACAATTATGGAAATGTTGGGAGGAATAGAAATATAAAAAAGAAACGAAAAGAAAACAAAGAGCAAGATTATTCTAGATACGATGCATCACAGTCTCACGGATAAATCATAAATGATAAGCTTTGGTCGAAATGAAGGAAATCTCAATTTCTCCATTGAACAAGTCAAAGGCTATACAAACATTTGCACTAGGAGATTGACTTGAAAAATCTTCTAAAGACAGAATAGGGTAACTCAATATTTTAAAATTAAAATTTGGATATTCTAAAACTATATAATAAGTATTATAAGTTGTAATTATTCTCATGTCAATATAATAAAAAAATACATTATAAAATATTATCCAAAGTTTACATAGTTTGAACCTCGCGAGAAGCGAAAAATATCACATAAATTGGGACAAAAAGAGTATATGAAATGACATTTCAAACCATGCACTTAAATTTTTTCTCTACGGTCCATAAATTAAAATGAACTAATGATGCATGCCTATCGAGTGTCATATAAATTAAGTTGCAGTCAAGTAATATCATACTTCGTATTAATTACAATTTCGCCAAACTTTAGGATATAAATCCCATCGAAACCCATTTTCTATTTGCTGGCTCATTCATTAATTCCCCCGAAAATCTTTTAGTTAAGGTGCGATATGACATGTTCAAAATAAAGAAATAAGAAAAAATCTAGCAGAATAATCTGGAGTTGACTCTAAGTGACTGATATAATGCAGTAATTAAAAAGTACTTAGGTAATTTAACCCTCATACATGCTATTTTGATGATTCAGCTTATTTGATTGGTGCGCTTAATTAGTTGCATAGATCTTAATTAAAGAATATTCCTTTAAAATGTAATACATTTAATTTCTAAGTATCTTGTAAAATGAAATTGCTTTAACTATAATTACTCCATAGCAGAAGGAGATGAAACTTTGACGAAATCACGCCTTTGGAGTACATCCTATGAAGTTGAAATAATATACAGAAGATTAACATAATGATCAGTTAAAAAAGGACCTCTTCCACATTACTAGCCGACTAATTAATATTATACCAAATCAACTAGGGAATTCCCCTTCCTGGGACTTGTATAAATTTTAATTGCTAAACTCCCTCCGGATTAATTTCTTTTTTCACAGTTTGAAAACAATGGAATATGCAATTCCAGAACCACAGTTTTACTTGATTCTTGTGCATCACTTTCTCTTTTGTAACGCATTAGTGAACACACCAACAATCCTTTTTTCCTTAACTTTTTTCTTTCTTTCTTCTTTTGCTTTCCTTTATCGTTGCGGGGAGAGAAAGCTTTACACGTTATAACAAACATCTAGAAATTCAGTCTTGATTTTGTGCTAATTTAACTTAAGACAATGAATTGAGAGAATGTAATTTTAGTCGACCGAATTAGTTTAGACCCTGCGTTATCATCTTCATTTTTTGAGTGTGAAATGATAGTTTCTAATTGTTGGATTTAATTCTTTGATTTTTCGAGTTGACTTTATGTTTATTTTAAATTTGACGTTAGGTTTTGCTCAAATCACTTTAATTATTAAGGCGGAGACTAAAGAAAATGTTGCTTGTTTCAAGGTAGAAATTAGAGTCGATGACAGTAACTTTTTTAGCTATATATATGTACCTTAGACTGGACCTAAGTGAAGCTAGCTCGTTATGTGATAATTGTCTGAGAACATATAATATGAGAAAAGAACTCATAAGCTAAACCAATCTAAGACATTCTAACAATCCTCGCACGAGTAGATTTAGACATTTAGAACGTAGACAATATGACATGGATGTCTAAAATTGAATAAACCAAGATAGGGGTCCGATAATATAATATAATGCATGTTAAAAAAAAATTATGCCTAATTTAACTCTAAAAGTTACTTCGTACACATTCAATAGATAAAATAAAGCAAGTTCATGTGCAAGAGGTTATCAAGATAGTACTGGTGTCAACTATAGCAGCTAAGACGGGGAAGATTATGTCACTTTACCAGAAGAAATGGCCTTTGTTGGGGCTTAAAATATGCTCATACTTGTCTACTCCCGTGAGGTAGTTTTACATATATACGTACACTGTCTGCTTAACAATTACTAAGCCATATTCTTAAGCCGTCAAAGTGGTCTTCAGAGTTCGGAGACATGGCTAGAATATCGTTGTTGTTAACATTAGCTTTTTTCCTCATGATGAACATCAGTATTTATCAAATTTCAGGTGCTCCTCCTCCTCTAGTACCTCTTCCTTTCCCAACTACTCCTGCGCCGTCACCTTTTATCGGTGGTGGTGGCGGTGGAGGAGGAGGTGGTGGAGGACGAAGTGGCACAGGAAGCGGTTATGGCTCTGGAAGTGGTAGCGGTTTTGGATGGGGAAGAATTGGTGGAGGTGGTGGCGGTGGTGGAGGTGGCGGAGGTGGTGGTAGTGCTCCAGGACCAGGCAGTGGAGGATCAGGCCAAGGTAGTGGCAGTGGTGCAGGCTATGGTTCTAGTGGTAGTATTGTTTCAACTCCTAGTCCTAGTGCCTAGCCATTTCCTTATTCGTAATATGATACAGTAATATATTTAATACTATTACCTTTTGTAGCAACAAAGAAAAGAGAGAGCTATAGCATATGGAACTACTTACATGTTTATTGCATGTGCATGGAGCCATGCATGTTTTTCTTTTCTCTACGTGAATACATAATGTGATCTTGTAATATGTGTAAGTACTGCTTGATGTTTGGGATAAAGAGAAATTTCAGTAGTGTAAGATTGCAAAATATATAAGATTAATCATGCGCGCTTACCATTTAAAATTTTGGTTGTTTGGAGTGTCACGATCCAAAATTCAACTAGTCGTGATGGCACCTAATCCAATCCGCTAGGTAAGCCAACTTTCAACTATCCAATTCCAATAACAATTATTAAAGCAATTTAAGTAAATAAAGATCTTAATCTTATACATTCCCCAAGAACTAGTAGTACAAATCATGAGCTTTTAAGAATAGAATTTACAAAGCTGATATGAAGTAAATACATTTTCTGTTTGAAAAGTATATAAACAGAGTTTTTATAATCTAAGGCTACCATAAACAAGAAGCAGTTACCATAAGAACGCAGGTACATCTTCAAATCCGGTAACCATCGAGCACAGCAATAACAGCAGCCAACATTTGCACGCAATGTGCAAAAGTGTCGTATCAGTACAACTGATCTCATGTACTGAGTAAGTAACAAACCTAACCTTAGGTTGAAAGCAATGACGAGCTTTTACTAAGGTCGGGTCCAAAATCAATAGTCCACAACAGTCCATAACAACGTTAGGCAAATAAAACAAGAATTAACTCAGAGATAAAATGCTCAGCTAAATCATGATTTTAAAAATAGTTCTTCCTTTCAAGTACAAGAGTGAAAACCCAAATCTTTTACCGAAGTCACCAAAAATATGAATAAGTTTGAAAATAATAATTTTCCCAAAAATCCTTTGAATAATAAATAATATGGTTCGTTTTCTTTTCAGATAACCAGTGTAAAACAAATGCATCACTATGCCCATCTGTCAACATGTGTGAGAAATCATGAATGATGTGATACTGTACAACATGAGTAAAATACATCTTTATGCCTGGATGTCATGTGTGCATGTCAATGCGATGCAACTCAGTGATAAAATCATATGCATACTCTTAGAGTATCATTTCACTCAGTCTTCCTAGTCACTCAGTTCTCCCAATCGCTCGGCACTCGGCACTCACACTCAGTAGGTACCTGCGCTCACTGGGGTGTGTACAGACTCCGGAGGGGCTCCTTCAGCTCAAGTTCTATAATCTGCACGGACAACTCACGTGCTGCACAGACAACTCACGTGCTATAATAATATCTGGATCTGCACGGATAACTCACGTGCCTTAATAATATCTGGATCCGCACAGACAACTCACGTGCTGCACGGACAACTCACGTGAAATAATAATATCTGGATCCGCACGGACAACTCACGTGCTATAATAAAGCCTATAAGACCTGCTGCAGGCGGGCATCCCCGATCCACATAATAATCCTCACAATCAGGCCCTCGGCCTCACTCAGTTATCAATCTCTCCGGTCTCTCTTTCTCATGGGCTCACAATGTCATGAAAAAAGCTCAAAAATGATGATATGATGTATCAATAAATAAATAACACAGACCGAGATATGATATATAATGACATGAATATGATTGAGTATAAATTTTTAATTTAAAACAATTAATTCACAGCAATATGACCTCTATGGGTCCCAATAATACTGACACATAGCCTCAACATGATTTTTAATATGATTCTCAGCTAGGCCTGGCAAGTGGGCCGGTCCAGGCCCGGGACCAGCCCAGGACCGCGGGCCAGACGGGCCAAATGGGCCAGGACCGTTTGGTCCGGTTTTAGCGGGCCTGGTCCGGTCTCGT